GGGTTAGGCAGGGAGTGGGGGCAGGGCCCAGCAGTAGAGGCCAGGACTGGGGACGAGGCAGGGGCAGGGCTGGGCCAAGGGTGCAACTAGCTGCAGCCTTTTGCAAGACTCACCTGTGGCTGAGCAGCAGCTCTGGAGAGGGGACAGGACACGCAGAGGCAGCCTGTACTCAGGCCAAGGGGGTGCATGAGGCTTGCAGTGTTCCTGTGTATTGCACAGGAGCCACCAGGCTTCTGTGCAGTGTGCTCCAAGGCACAAAATGGTTGCAGACTTTTATAGCCTGAAGCTAGGGGCTGTCAGGAAGCAGCCCAGGTCTGGCCCAGGAGAGGGTTCAAGCCAGGAACCCGCGCGGTAGGCACAGGCCAGGCCCCTACTGTCAGGGCAGACCTGGCAATAAATTTAGTGTTGGGTTACATCTACACGTGCATTACTGTGCATTAACTAATCACAACTAAATTTTATACCTGCATTTGGAGGTATGAAATTTTGTTGCAATTATCCATTTTTACTATGCAGTAAGGGCATGCATGTGTAGACATGCACCCTTAATGCATAGTAAATTGAGCTAAGGCATGTTAACACATCTTGTGTAGATGCATCCTTCATGTAGGTTCACCTTTGAGGTAGCTGAGCAATAAGAATTAATTAAGAAACCTGCCCTTATTTTCATAAAGAACAACCAATTATGAATTACCAGATTTTCCAGCTTGTTCTACTTTGGCACGGTTTCAGATAAAATGCAGAAGGCAGGATGGATATACGCTTCAAAAGGAATCTATTAAAAGCATATGATGTTGGAGAAGCAGGAAAAGGCTGGTTACCCTACCAAACTTATTCAGTTTTTATGAGTGACATCAGGGCCTCTATCCTCCCATTTCCCTTACCCATACCCACAGCTGCCTCAGAAATAATGTTACAATCATCATCTCTAGCCCAGGGGTGGGGAAAATGGCAGATCCAGCTGGTAGCCAGACTCCCAGCAGCCTCTTTCCGCATGGCTTGGGCTGGTCTCCATGGAGACACCAGCCACAGCTGTGCCTTGATAGTGCAAGGCTGGGGTTGCCATGGAGACCGGCCCCAGCTGCGCTGGCAGGGCACGTGGCAGGGCAAGCAGTAGATTGCTCCGGAGCTGCTGGGATCTTGTGGTGGGGGCAGCTTGGGTGCAGCTCCCGGGTGGGTGCAGCCTGCACTACCCAGGAGGCGGCCAGGGCAGAGCCGCGATATGCAGCCTGCATGCTCCAGGCAGGGGCATGCAGGGAGCGGATCATGGCTTTTTCCCGGCTCCTTGCAGTGATGACAGCCTGGTCTATGGCAGCGACACAGCCACAATCAGCTGCCTGTGTGCCCCTGTCTGGAGCATGCAGGCTACAGATCACAGCTCTGCCCTGACTCCTTGCAGCTGTGATAGTCTGGTCCTGAGCTGGGGCAGAGCCATGTTCTGCTGCCTATGCACCCCTGTCCTGAGTATGCAGGCTACAGATCGCAGCTCTGCCCTGGCCCCGGACCAAGCTTTCCCTGCCACAAGATCCCAGGGCTCCAAAGCAGCCCTCTACCTTGTGTTTCATAGTTTCATAGTTTCTAGGGTTGGAAGGGACCTGATCAGATCATTAAGTCCGATCCCCTGCCCTGGGCAGGAACGAGTGCTGGTATCATAATATCCCAGCCTGATATCTATCCAACCTCCTCTTAAAGACCCCCAAGGTAGAAGAGAGCACCACCTCCCTTGGTAGCCCATTCCAGAGCCTGGCAGCCCTAACCATAAAGTAACACCTCCTGATATCAAGCCTGAACCTACTCAATCAATTTGTGTTATTTTGTTATCCCAGGTGCTGCCTCAGGGAACAGAGCCTCACCTATTTTCCGCTGGTCCCCCCTGGTGAGTTTATAGACAGCCACCAGATCCCCTCTCAGTCTTCTCTTGTGGAGGCTGAATTGATTCAGGCCCCTTAGTCTATCTTTGTAGGGCCTGGTCTGCTGCCCCCTGACCATGTGAGTGGCCCTCCTCTGGACCCTCTCCAGGTTAGCCACATCCCTCTTGAAGTGCGGCGCCCAGAACTGGACGCAGTACTCCAACTGTGGCCTGACCAGCGCTGCATAGAGGGGAAGGATCACTTCCTTGGACCTGCTTGTGATGGATCTGTAGATGCACGACAAGGTGTGGTTAGCCTTACTGACCGCTTTCTCGCATTTCCATCCTGGAGTCAATAATGACTCCAAGATCTCTTTCAGCCACTGTGTTGTTGAGAAGGGTGTTCCCCAGCCTGTAGGTATGTTGCAGGTTCCTTCTCCACTTGTTGCATCCCTCTGACGCTATAATGGATCTTATACCAGGCAAGGAGACTAAGACACAGTTGTCCTAAACTAAAAGCAAGTTTATTGAACCCTAACAGATATAATGGGTTCCGGGGGCAGTATCGTTGCAGCTAAGAATAAGAGCGCAGCAACCAGATATGTCAGTCTCTTGCCAAGTGCCAGTACAATTGAGCTGGGCCCAGAAGCCTCTGGGTCCCAACACCCACCCTGTCATGCACCCTGCCAGTGCAGCTGGGGCTGGTTTCCATGGCAACCCCAGCCTTGTGCTATCACAACACAAGGCTGGAGACAGGCTCCAGTCATGCGGGCAGGGGCTGCTGGGAAATGGAGTCCACCACCGGCCAGATCCGGCCTGTGGGCCAGATTTTGCCCGCCTCTGCTTTAGCCCATATTATGCTACTTACTACAGTGGCATATCTTGGATTCTGGAAACAAATGTCATGGTTTTCACTTTTTGAAGGAAAACATTCTGTTTAGATTTTTCCTAATTTTTAATTTGTTTAATGCTTTTGACCCTAAGGTATTTTGGGCTTCATGCACCTGTAAGTCTTTACACAGCCAGGAAGAATAAATCTACCCCATTTATCATTCTTCACTGCTGGATTCTTGAGCCTGGTGCATGAGCTACTTTGCCGTGGGATCATGTCTCTTTTGGGCCAGTGAATTTGCAGTGACTCTCTTGGCCAGATTTTCAGCTGATATAAATTGTCATAGCTCCTTTGAAGTTAATGGAGGTATACTGACTTACCTCAAGTGAGACTATGACCTTTTATTTTGTCAGTAGTCCACATTACCTCTGTATATGGCATCATAAACCTGATCATTATCTTTTATAAGCATAGTTATGTCATTTAGAGGTGACATTAGTATTTAACTTGTACTCTTTTAATCTTCTTGGCAGTATCTGTAAACTCTACTTCATTGTGTCTTTGACCAGTGCAGAATTGATGGTCTGTGCAGTGAAACTTCTAATTAGAAGACTTGTTTTAGGAGCTAACAAATGGAATGTTGTATAGGCATTTGGTTACCTAAGATAACATTGAAATTAGCAAATTCTTAAACTGATTAATGTACATCAGCTTCTAATTACATTTTGTATTGCATACAGATTTGTTATGTGATATTAGAACTCTGTATTAGTTTGATCCTGTGTATTCCAGTGTCCTTTGGATTCTTTTATCTTGAACTTTAAATTCTAGTGATGTAGGACTTTTGCTAATTTTCTGTCATTACTTCAAAAGTGTCTTGAATATGCGTGGCAGTGCTGACAAAAAAGATTTTCTCAAGCATGTTTGGGTGAATTGTATATATAGCCCTACAGACCAGACTTAAAGGGGGGAAACAGTGAACAGGGCTGTTGGAGTCACAGATTTCATCTGTAACAGGTGAAGTTTTAAATAAAGTGGGATTGACACATTGAAGCTTTTACTATTTATTTTCAAGGTGGATAAGGGCTATATACTGAGGCTGAGGCTGTCCAATGCCAACCAAAGAAACTGGGAAGTTTACCCTTGACTTCAGTGGGTGTTGGGTAAAATAGATGAGGAAAGACTGTTTTTAGAGGTTTTGGTCAAGATATTTGATTTTTTTTCACAAAATGTTTTGAAAATATCAAAACAAAGATGTTGAATTTTGAAATAGTGTTTCTAAACAAATATTTCCATTGTATTTCAGCTTGAAATCTCAGTTTCCAATTTTGTATTTTGGGGTTTTGGATATTTTATTCCTTGCTGTAATTACCTGTTCTATTATTCTGATCTCCTTTCTCTCTTTTTTCCCAATGAAAAATGTCAGAAAACAATGAGGTATCAAGGGGAAATAATTCTATAAAAATATCTAAGAACTTAATTGAAAATGGTGTTTTCCCACCAATAAGAGTTTATTTTCTGGAGGAAAAATATGTGATGAATCACTTTTGACCAGGGCTAGTTTTAATACTCTGCATCACCCATCCTCTCCCAAAGATTAACTATGCACTCCATTTTAGCATGTCTTTTAATTTTTTTTGAGGAATAAACTTCAATAAATAAGTAAAGCTAAGCACTTTCTGAATCTGGAAAACTATGCAAAGGGTAATCCATCCTAATTAAAGAGACTGATACATGCATAGGTGATGTTTTGGGGCAGTATGGGGGGAGTACATGCTCCCCCGAGACTTCTGTGCTGACAGTGGGGTGCAGGGCCCAACAGCAGTGGGGATGGTGGTGGCAGCACAATTTCTATGCCAACAGCAGGACATGGGGCTGTAGCCTGGCCAGACCCAATGTGCAGCAGCAGTGGCAGCCGTGATATGGAGTTGTGCCCCCTCCCCGCCATTGTCAGCACTTATGCATTGCCTATGGATACAAGAGAAATCAAATACAGATTTTTAGTTTAAATGGCTGTTGTTATCATTTTATGAAACCAATTACTGCCTGTGCATCAGAAAGAGAGAAATGCAAAGGCTTTTTGCCTTGATTTTGACTACTGTGCCTAGGAATTTGTTCAGGTTTTTAGCTGGTATGAATTGGCAAAGCTCTATTAACTTCAATGTACCATTTTGCATAACTTGAAATCTGTTCCCTGGTACTCACCTCTGCTATACCTCCCCTGAGATGAGAACGTAGAATTTTTCTACTTCCGTGCTATTACTAACCTCAGGATTCTTTTGTATGGTAATTAAAGTAAAAGAATCTTTTTTTCTCTAGGGTGCACTTTTGAAGGAAATGCCTACAACAGCTCTATGAAATGGCAAGTTCCAGCCAGGCCATGTGTCACATACCAATGTCAGGTAAGGACTGAAAGTCATGAACTTCATCACCTGGATGAGCAACGGGTAGTGTGCTAGCCTGATTACAGGGATTATCTTCGTTTTCTCAGTATCAGCTAGATTTTTAGCAAAATATGAATTTTGATGTTAATATTTCTCTTTCAGATGCCTGGCTATTTCTTATTTGGTGTTTTGGTTAAAAAGAGGCTAACAGAAACCAAACAAGCAAGCACCCCTCCCCCGCCCCCAACCAAAAACACATATGTCCTCCCATGCTCCTGTTTCGTTAATGCAGTAGATTGCATTATTGGTAGGCTTGCAGCCCTAATAATTATGCAGTTCCATGTGTCTAGTTCAGGCCCAGAAACTGCATCTGTGTACACAAGCCATGGAACTGTGCCTGCAGTCTGACATTCGTGTGTGCAGTCTTTTTATTCATCCTTCCAAATTGATTTGCTCATAATTTGTGTGGGTAAAATACAATTGCCTCCTGAAAAGCTGACTGTTTTAAGAACAGTTCTTTCTTTTGATCTAATGCTGATGTCACTCCAACTATAGAAACAGGAATAAATGACCATTTAAAACACACTCTATAAATCTTCAAAAGGACCATCCCATCATATGTATCATTTAACATTGGGTATTCAGACACTTATTTCTAAACTCGCCCTGCTACATTAATATTGTGGGCAACTAAAATTAGCCGTGTTCACAAAACAACTTTATAAAGGTGTATTCCTATCCACTTTAAAATATGGGTACCTTCAGCATGTTATGTACCACAGTTAATGTTGAGCAATAGTCTCCTAAGTCCATAATATTTCTTTGACATGATACTCAAAGCTTGCATTTGCTCTCAGTGGTGAAAAGAACATTTCCTTATCTGTCATTCTAAGTTTCCAAATGCAGAACTAGGTAGCCTATTTCCCCTGAGTGCTAGGACTGGAAAACTAGGCTTCCTGTATTTACAAAATCAAAGGTGTATACAGCAAAAAAAACAACCACTTTTGCATACAGATTCTTACCCTCAGATTCATCAGGACTTCTTGAAGAAGAAATACAGGAAAGGATAATTTACTAGTACCTATCAGGAGAAACATCAAAGATAAGAGACTCCATCTAGAGAATGAGAGGCCTTTATCTCCTTTCTAAGCTTTTTTCCTCCAAGGGGAGAGGGAAGGGAATGCTTTGTGTCTGGTCTGCTGCTATCAAAGCTTTATAGCAGATTACTTCCAAGTTTCCATGGGCTGGGGATTCCTGATAAAGCAGGATTCCTTTTCCTAAGAAGGTGCTTTGTTTCTTACCTGATGCATTATAGGGTAAATCTGGAGTCAGGAAGGCTCAAGTGCTCTTTTGACTGGGGGATAATCTGAATCTTGATACTGTGTCGCAGATACAGAAAGAAAAGGGGCTTTGAAACCTTCTGCTACACTGTGGGTGCGTCTACACATGCCCCTACAGCACAGTTGTTCCTGGACATCATTTAGTTTTCCTTTTGGAAGTACTAAATGACGGTGCAGCAACAGCCCCATACTGTGCTGTGTGCGTAGCACACGGTTATTTTTAGCTGCTATGTTGCTGTAGTAACGTGCTATACTGAAGGAGCATGTCACTACAGCAATGTAGCTGCGGCGTCACAGGTTTTGCCCACATGTTGCTGTAGTGTGTTGCTATGGCAACATAGCATCACATGTAGAAGCACCCAGTATATAGCATGTCATAGTTGTAATTCTTGGTTACTGTGGCTTTTGATTCTTATGATTATGATCATGATCATAATATGGTTGGTTCGGTATTTTTCAGGAAGGAGTGATAACAGAATCCGAGATCCAGTGTGTGGTTTATTGCAAAAACCCTTCTAAACAGATGGGGATATGTTGTCCCACATGTCCAGGTAAGATTTAATAAAAATTCTGATATTCCTTCTCCCATAAGCATTTTTGCAGCTCAGTCACGGTGCCAGTCCCTGCCCAATTTGCTGTCCCATCTATTCCCGTCTCCTACCCAGCACTGTTGTTTTGGCTAATTTTCACCCCATGTCTCAAATGTGAATCTTGCTGTGTTATTTCAGGGGAATGACACGGAGAGCAGCTCAAACCATGCTGACAGAGATAAGGTTGCCCTCTTGTGCTCTCTGTCTTCCCCTTCCATCAGCTTCCCTCCACTTACTAAACATGCATGGCAACGTGTATGGACGTGGACACAGTTAACTTTTGGGATGCGATGGATTTGAATGCATAGGAGAGAGCACCTCATTAGGGAGAGAGAAGCAACTGACTAAGTGTTGGCCTGGTAAGATTATAGGCACTGGGCTGTCTCATAGGAAGCCTGTTCTGAAAACACCATTTACAAGTAATCAGAAAACCCTCCTCGGCAGCCTATCAGGGATCCTCAGAGGTTCTGTTCAGGTATCTTGGTGCTTCCAGTTTCAGTCACAGCCCAGAAGTATGGGAAAAAAACCAACAAAGAAACACATCCAGACTTGGAAGTTTGCATTCAGGGCTGAGGGAGATGTATATTCTTCCACCAGCCCTATGTGAGGTTCTGCTCAGTTGCCTTGAGGCATCTCACTAAGCGTTTGGCCTCATCCTACTAATCAGTCAGGTGAGCAAAGCTGATGCATGGAGCTGCCTTTCAAGGCCTGGATGGGGGTTGAACATTATATGTGAAAGCACAGGCCCCACTGTCAGCTCTCATGCCGCCAGATCAGGAGAGAGGAACCTAATGAATAGGCTTCATTCTCTCTGCTGTGGAGCTGAGTATTCCCTGGGCTGCGAAGCACTTATATTAGATTGAATTTAACAGCCTTTTGGCTTTAACTCTCCATCCTTGGAGGTTTTTAAGATCTGGCTAGACAAAGCCTTGACTGGGATGATATAGTTGGGGCCGGTTCATCGTTGAGCAGGGTCTAGGCTAGATGACCTCCTGAGGTTTCTTCCAACCCTAATTCTCTCTTGTCTATGATTCTGTCCGTAATATTTCTAGTTACTGTTTCACGGTAGGTACTAACTATAACAGAGAAATAAGAGGAAAGCTACTCAGCTGGAGGCCAGATGAACAGAATGCTTTAAGGGGGCAGAAAAATGGTGTGAAGGGATTTTTGAGCACCTGAATTGAGGTGATTTTCTTAAAGCCACAAAATAGGGGAGGGAGGTTGCACTGGAAAGTATTTAAGTAACTTGGAAAGCGACACATCTAGCTTTCAAGCAGTGCAATACTCAGGACATTTATGGACAGCTGAGCCAAGTCCACTTAGGTTTCATACTTTATGGATGAAGGCATTGACCCTGCAAGGTATGTGTCACAGGATAACTAGGAAGAGGATTTTTGGGGTATGACACTTAATGTGCAGGGGTTCATTAAAACCATGAGAATATGGTCTAACTTACAATTGGGAGATAACAGGAAGGGGGTGGCTTGGAGGCTTATTTTTATGAGAGAATATCTCAAATAAACCTGTTTCCCTCAAGGTCAAACTTCTACTTGAGCCTTAACAGCTCATTGGGCTAGTGTGGGTAAGGCATACCAGTTTTAATAGCCAACAGTACCCAAGGGAGTGGTGTGGCTAGCTTCACATCTAGCTACCTTTGACTCCTCCACCCAAATGGACAGGTAGCCTTCTGGCTGAGCCAAGTGGGGAGTGTGGGTTTTGGCATGAGCTTGAACACCTGCTTTCCAAATTGTAGCTAGACACCTTAATGTCTCTGCCACTGTGCCCCTAACCTATTTTTTCCACAGTCATAAATAACAAAACATTATTCTTTTTGAGGTACAACTGGCACAGTGCATTTAGTTTATTCTGACAACTCACTACATCTTATGTGGATAAGGACATGAGGACTGTTAAAACAAGTGGGGTTTTTTTTTCTTTAAATAGGAGTTTTAATGGAATTCCTGACCTAATCTTGACTATAGTGATATAAAAAAACTTCTGAAAAATATTCCCTGTGAAAATATTCTCTTCTTGTTCTTTCTTTCTGTCACAAAACTGTTTTCCCCACTTTCTATAATATAGAGATGATGCATATTACTGAAAAGAAGAAATTATTTATTTTCTACATAGTTCTATGGTAGGATCATATTACAACAAAAAATGTATTGACCCAAGTCAAATTTACCCAAACACTCCTTTTCAGGTTGTATATTTGAAGGTAGACATTACAAGGAAGGGGAAGAATTTCAGCCAGAAGGGAACAAATGCATTAAGTGCTCTTGTATTGTAAGTATTTGTCTTTGACATTGTTTCTACCAGTATGTTCTTCAAAAGGTATATTGTTTTCATAACTGGAAAAAATATAGGAGACTCAGCACTCTGAGTGTTGAGTGTTGGTATTCACTTTTTTTTGAAGATTTCACTACCCAAGTATTTTTTATAGGACTATGGTATTCTAGGTTTCGTACACTTCTGCTGATTGAATCCAGTTGAGAAGGTAAAGCAACATATTCTGGGGACTAGGAATTTGATGGTTCAAGTAGTCCTGTCTTGACTATTTCTGAGATGAGGTTACACAGCAGCATGATAGGAGGGGAAGGAATATTCAGGTGCCATCTGTTGGTCAGTATCAGTTGATGTTGCATGGAGTTTCATCTGAGCAACATACAGCAAGGACCATAAACCTTTTATTTGCCTCATGTTGCTCAATGAAAGGTGGATGGCAGTCTATGGGCTATCCCAGCTGGGTTTTGTTTGATACTTGATGAAAGGGCATACTCGGAATTCTGTGCTTTGCTTTTAACTGTGTATATATATAAATTGTAATTGCACCTTTCCAATACTGTGATTATGCCCCTCTTTTTCTTACATTAAAGTCAGAGCTTACTTTATACAGTTCAGGGCAGATGACTGACTGGTGGCTGCTGTCTGAGACCAATAAAATGGAAAGTTCAGTGCTCTGCAACATTGCAATGGATAGACCACCTATGAGCAAAAAACAGGGTATGGGGTTAAAAAGTCTCAATAAAGACCTCTAGTGTTTTATGCATCAAATATAAACATCCTATAATTTTAAAAAGTAAAGGGGAAAAAGGAACCTAGACCGGTTTTTAACATTTACTTGTCTAGTTACTGAACAGAAGCAAAACCTTTTGAGAATAAAAAGTCACCGATTAGGAACTCAGAATTATTTAAATCACTGTTGCTACTTTATTTATCCATGCCCATATTTTAAGCTTTATTCCTTTTAAAAATGAAAATATGCAGCCACATTCTTAAATAAGAACTGCTTATTGCTCAACATGAATGAGGTATCAGGGCAGAAGTATTTCCCTGTTCAAGCTTCCTCTATCCCCATAAAATAAAACAAACAAATCCTAGGAGAGTGTAGTAAGATGGGGGTGTTTGATATGGAGAATGCAGGGAAAGAAAAATACTAACAAACCTCAGAATATAAGCATTGCTACACTAGTTCAGCCCTGATGCCCATCTAGTCCAGTAACCTGTCTGTTTCTGTATTACTCTAGTTCAGCCCTGATATCCACCTAGTCCAGTAACCTGTCTCTCTTACTGTATTACTCTGTTACTGGTATGTGGCCAGCACCACATGTATCAGAGGACCCTGCAATAACAACCTTGGTAGCCAGAATCAGGGCGATCTGCTCTCTAGCCAACCCTTCAATGGATAACATGTTTATAATAGTTAGAAATGGGCTTAATGCCTTAAACTTAGGTTAAATGATCTCTTCCAAGGCAGAGGTGATTATAATTCATTATGATAATACTGGATATTGATGCTATTCCCAAAATGTGCAGTCCCATCTTCAATCTTATAGACAGCAGCAAGACATAATTCCTTGTGTCAATTTTGCTCATTTTTCTCCTTTTCCTTCCCTCTCCTTACTGTCTCTGGTCTGTTTGCTTTCACAATCTGGGACCTTATTACCTCCTGTGCAATTTAAATTGGAGGCAAACAATGGAGTCATTTTAACGACTTTTATAGTTTACTGCCTACTCTGTGTCCTCTTCTTTACAGAATGTCTTTGCAATTTATATCTTATCTGAGTCCTCAATGCATATGTCTTATTTAAAAATACTTATCTACTCATGCAATAGTAGGAGAAAGGGCTTGGAGTGGTAGGCTGTAACATGCAAGGACCTTACAAGAAATAAGGTATGTCCTCACCTAATTAGATTTCTACTGTGAATTGAGATTGTAACTGTCTGACATGCCTTTTGTAGGAGAATAGAAGGGAAGAGAAGTCAAAGTGAAAAAAGTTTTTGCAAGCATATTTTTGAGTGCTAATAAAAAGCTTTTAGCTATAAACATCAGATCCATTACTGTTCATCATTAGTTTCCAGTTTTCTCTAAGAACTAATGTGTTTCTGATTATTTATTTTCAGAGTTGTCATGGGTATGTCTACACAAGACACTTTATTACGCAGTAGACTAATCTACTGCACAGTAAAGTGTCAGTATTTAACCATGCGCTAGGCTACTGCACAGTAAAATAGACTAATGACCAGTTATTTACTACTTACTACCTGAAAATACAGGTAGTAGATTAACTGCACTAGCTACTGTTCAGTAAAGCATATGTAGATGCTGGCCAGGAGCAATTTGCTCCCAGTCAACCCATGCAGCAGGGGGCCCACTGCTGCCTGGCTAAACATGGCCTCAGTTGTGCTGGCTGCAGGGGCAGCTGTCTCCCTGATCCCCACATGGCCAGAAGAGCTGTCCCAGCAGGTGGGACTGCTGCATCCCAGTCAGGTGGGAATCAGAACCTGATCCCCACATGGCAGGGAGAGGCATCCCCACCTGGCAGGACAGCCACATGGGGATTAGGAGGATCCCTGCCTGGTGGGAACATTCCCTGGCAGCCATGTGGGGATTGGGAGGGTCCTGAATCTCCACTCCTGATCCCCACATGCCAGTCCCCACTGCTGATCCCCATGTGGCTGTCAGGCAGAATCCCTGCCAGGCAGGGACAATTCTCCCGGCCACGTGGGGATTGAGAGGATCCCAATCCCCATGTGGCTGTCCCCCGCCAAGCAGGGACACCTCTTCCTACTATGTGGGGATCGGAGCCCCTCCCTATCCCAACATGGCTGCCAGGCAGAATCCCCGCAGGGACACTTCTCCCAGCCACATGGGGTTTGGGTCCAGTCCTCTTGTGGCTGGGATGCAGCAGTCCCGACTGCTGCGACAGCTGTCTCTCCCCACATAGGGATTGGGACCAGCACCCTGCTGTTTGCCAGCTTAGGGCTGACACCCAGGGGAGCCTGGAGCTCCCCCTGGCTGCTGCAATTGGGCAGGGCAGGGCAGAGCAGGGGGCAAAAACTCTGGCCGGGAGCAAATTTGCTCCCAAGTTGGGGCACATGTGGACCCTTTCCCTGGTGGCAATTTGCTGTTCCTTATTTAATGTGCATTAACCTTACTGTGCATGTGTAGCCACACCCCATGTTACTTAGGATAAAAGAGAGGTAATAACATTAACATTTAAAGCTGGGAGAGCAAGAAAGACTACTGTCTTATCTAGACCATCCCTAAATCTCTCATAGTCACTAAATTTATGCAAACAAGCTATACTAATAGTGAATATATGTTCTGGTGTGTGTACACACACACACACTATAATAAAATAATTTTTAAAATTGTCAGGTACTTAGAAATTAGGAAATGTCAGATTTTCACCTCATTTATGCATAGCCTTTGGAATACTTCAGCTGTGGGACAGCTGTGTAACTGTGCTCAGCTCAGAACTGTGCTTATTGGGTACTAGAATAAGAATAGGATAATTAAAATGTTTATTGTTTTCTTATATTTGTTATGTTAGCTGTTCTGTACTGGAAAGTGGGATAACCCACCTCACTCTTTTCACTAGTCACTAAACAAGCAATAGATAAACACTTTGGTGCAGCTAGTGAGGTTTCTTTATAGAGGTGGCATGGAGATGAAAGGCCTTGTATTTCATTACTGCTCCCCTGAACAATCTGCTCCTTAAGGTGACTAAGATTACTGGTTGAAGATGAAAATGTATCATGGGCATATTCCCTGTTAAGAGTGAATGAACTGGTTTTAAATTACTTGATTTCCTTCAGAGATGTATTTGTGCACAAAAGATGGGTGGGAAAAGGGGGCCTCCTCTCACTTGAGCTGAGATCCAGCTGTTCTCCTGTAATTTGTAAGACTATTATTTTCGTTAAATTCTTGACAGGCTGGTCAAGTGCTCTAGAGAAACCTTAGATATTTCTCCTCCATAAGCACCTACTTAAGTGAAGGACTGGTGGCTTTAATCAAGTATTATTTTTAAGATACTATTCTTATGAGACCCATAGTGAGAGAATAAGTTTCTGCTTGCACAGTAGGAACAGTTGTCTTACACATTGCCTCTCTCATAGCCTATATTAATTATCTTACGTTTTTGTTTTGTTTACAGTTTTGATATAGCATATTTAAAAAATGAAAGGGGAAGGCTGAACAAGAAAGTGACCTGGTGTGATAGTGGTAACCATGGAAAAGTTTATCTTTAATCATAGTATTCTAAACTCATAACTAGCTCCTTTTGATTGAAGAAGCACTCACCAGTGTTACCCAGACTATAGGCTTTGTGAGCTCTGGCATGTGAGGTATGTGGAGATATGAGGTACCACCATGCTGAGAGAGTGGGCAGAGCTATTGAGTAGCTTCAGATGAAGACAAGTTTTACTTGAAGCTTCCAGCTGAGAGAAGGGGAGCAAGCAGTAGAATACCCCATTAAGAAAACAGTTAGAGACTGGATTACTGCATGGTTGGGATGGCTGTGTTATACTACATATGAACTGGGCGGGATTGGGAACAGTTGTGTCTTCTGTCTTTTCTATGGAGTTCACAGGGAGGCACTTACTGAAGTCAATCTTCTGAAGAACAGTCACATGCTGCTTGTTTCCCTGCAGCTATGTTACACAAAAGCTGTACCAGCCTCTTAAGCCAGTCTTCTGAAATGATTAAAAGCAAATAACGTTTGAACATATTAAGTTGTTGAAAGGAGGACACATGGAACTGGAACCCTTAAGGGAGATAATTTAAAAGCAACTTCAACCCAACCACATCTGTCCATATGCACATTTTCCATGTTATTATTCAATCATACCATTGATAGAAATAATGTGCACAAAATTAATTTGCTCTTGATTTGCCTATGTAGAGGCAAATTTGTGCAGTTTGAAGGTCTATCATTTATGTTCAAGAGTTTTAAGGTTCAAAAACTATATGAAAGTTGTGCACAAAGAAATGGAAGTCACCC